AGTTACTTGAAAGATGTACTTACAAAATCATCTATCTATAGCTGAGAGTTAATTTAAACGTTTTTTATTAGAAAACAGTATTCAAATCGGGCTATGTCCATTTCACAGTACTGCAGAGAAGAAGAGAAGATACGGTAACGAAAGAGAAGAGAAGAAGCTGAGAGTTAGAACAATTTAGATTTAGGACAAAAATATTTTTTGATAGTCCTTGATCTATTCGTTTAGAACGCTTTTTTGATACAACAACTTCTTTTTTATTCTGTCTACCAGCTATAGCTCGAGACCAGGTTCAGCTTTTAGTATATTCGATCTTTTAAAAATGAGCCAAGAATAAACTTTGTCACACACACTTCTCTATCAACGGTTCATCGGATCAATCTGGTTCCTTTACACTTTATGTTCAATATAATGTGTAGATGTGTCCTTTCAGCAAACAAAAATTTAACTGATCTGTAGCTGTTGATAAATTCTGGAAACCGTCGATTTTTCTATCTTATGACTCATACGTGCGCAAGAGATAATTAAATGACGGTAGACTGATAAGCATCAAACAGAAGCTTGTATGATTCATAACACAATGATGCCATCGAAGCATCGACGTCAGCAAAACTCTATTAATAATAGATAGAAAAAATGTCGTACTTCTGTACCTAAAAAATTATCTCTCACTACAATGAATAACGAAATTAATACAGAAGCAACAGCCTCAAACCAAGTAGAAAATGACAATAGAGACATACCTGCAGAAATCCGAAATTTAAGATTCGGGAAGATGCCGAAGAAATACTTGTACGACAACCATCCTACAATTCAGATAATGATGTTAATGACCATATATATTCTGATCTATTACTATTATTCCAGCCGTTCGTTACTCACTGCTCATTTTGCATTTTCGTTCTTCTTCCTATCATTTCCATCACCTAATGCACTAGTTACTTTAAAGTTTTCTGTTCAATTTACACATTTCTCAAAAGTACAGTTTGATCAGTTAAACTTAAACTAAAGTATTACATCAAATCGCGAGACTGGGATTGATCTACCAAGATCTTGTTTCCTTTCATCTTCTTTTATAAGATTTCACTTCCGCTAGGAAACGACAATCATCAATGGAAAAAGGTAGATTAGCAAAAAACACCTGTTATCCGCCAGATTGGCTGAAAATACATATTGTATAGTAATGGATATTGGAGAGAGTTATTAATTCTATCCTAAAATCAGAAAACCTAATCATAAACCTAATAGATAACAACATAGTAATCATAAACCTTTTTGTTACTGTGATATGGGTAAACGACAAAGAAAGATTTTGTTTGTTTTTGTCTATTTTTCACAAAAATGAAATTATGTATTCAGTATATTCTCTCACCTTATGAAATTTTAGTATCAAAAGTAAATGTAAATGTAAGTAAATGTCTCTCTTAGTCACATGAGTATTTGCATCACAAATATTTTTGAATATTGCATTATCTTATCATTTTCTTTTATTCATTTTTTGTAAAATGAATGCATAAATATAATACAGTATATTATTGTGAAGAAAGTAGCATTCGATACGCTTTAAATTAACGTATTTTTATCATAGCTTTTATCAAATAATCGAGAAGTTCGAGATAAGTAATCGAGATAAATGATAAAGGTACATAGTCGTCAAATCATTTTTTCAGCAGAACGGTGGTGTCATACTTTTCTTTTTAAAATATTTTCTCTCGTTTGGCATTATCCGTGTTAATAATCGTCCGTCGTGTGACTAATCAGGATTTCTTCGACAACATAACGTTGTCAATTAATCATTTTGGGTTTTGGCGCTGTAGACAAACATGAAGAAGACCTCGATGAGATGAATTTAATCAGAAAAGACATATAATAGACAGGATGACGAGTTATTATTCGTAACAAATTTAAAATAATACCTGGTTTTTTACTAGCTTTTGCATACATAACGAATCTAAAAACGTGTGCACTTTAAAATGGTATACGATTCTAGAACAGGATCAGTTTTTTACGATCATATAGGCATAAAAAACGTGCTTTTTTGTCGATCTTAGTGGAAAAAAAAGCGACAGGATCTTGATGCTCCTTGTCCAAAAAGTGAAACAGCCCAAAATCCAAAACATTGACAGAAAAAATTTTAAGTCACAAATGTTTTCGTACTCTATACCCTTGTTATTTGATTTCACGGCGAACAATTCTAATAGCTGTCGATTACTTATTATACAACTGATTATTGTACACATTTCACATTTTGACAGCTTAAAATGAAAACTAAGTGTATAAAACAAAGTAATCAAAATTTCATATAGTTTTCGATTTTTAGTTGTTTCCTAATGTTTTGAATTCGTTATCGTTAAGAACACTTCACTTTATCATACAATAATAATTAAAAATGAAACTAATAGTGTTTATACATCACTAGTAATAAACAATATTCTATTCTATTTGTAAAACTAATATAATTTAATAGTACAGTCAATAGATACAATAGAGGAAATTGAAGAGAGAAAGTAAATTTAACTTATTTCATTTATGCTGACCATTTGATGTATCCGTACGCTTGCAAACACGATAATCCAATATAAATAATCCATAATAAAATAAAAATAACTGAACAAACATATTTTGGAATTTTTGTTCCGCCTAATTCAGCTTTACCAAATACTCCCAAAAATCTTCTTAATATTAAGATTGCCATTGATATAATACAACAAATAGAAAATATCATCACGGAAAATGATAAATCACCAGCTTTAACTGTAAATGGTAAATTCTAAATAGAAAAAAATACTATTTATATGTCGAATAATTGATTAAAAATAGAATAATTTACGAACTTTTGATTCCCAGTAAATGGCTGCTAAAACCCAAGGTAATCCAAGGCCAAGAAATACATTGACACTATTTGATCCTGTTATATTACCTATAGCATCATCTGCTGTTTTGGAATTTTTAGCTGCAATCATACTGGCAAATGTATCCGGTAATGATGTACCTATATTAGTACAAGATGGAAAAATAAAATGTGTGGGTTTTTTTCCGTTTTTTTTTGACAATTTTTAACTTACCCATAGCGACAAGTGATATGGCTGTTACACTATCTTTTAATCCGACTAAACAGCCAAAAATGGCTGCTACATCACCAACAAGAGCTGTTAGTACACCGATGAAGATTAATGAGACAATAAATGTACACCATCCGCCAGCAAGTTGTGTGGGAGGAACGAAGGCAAACAATACCTAATAACAGAGAATAAACAATTTTGTGCTCATATTTTAAAGATCTAAGTACTTGTACCTTCCAAAAAATTGCAATAACATGTCCAATGTAGTGTGATAGTGTAGCTGTTTCAAGATCACCACCGTTTACATTCAATGCATCATAAAATTGTTGAGTCCATGTTCTTCTCGATACACTTAAACGATCAATATCAAGTTTAACTAAATTAAACATTCGACCTGCCATCGATTTGTATTCTACAATAAATACAAAAAAAAGAATTCTGATATTTCATATTTAAAATGCTTAAAAACATATTACCAAAAGAGTATCAAGTTACCGTTCGGTTCTCGAGTAACGGCAACGACTCAGTTACTCGCTACTATTGTAATGGTAACTATTGAGTTAGTTTTATTTACTTTTGTTTATTTTGCATTTTTAACAAAAATATTTCAGTTTTTTCGCATCCGGTTCAGTTCTGGCCAAAATTCTTAAGCCCAAATACGAATCGAGCCGAAGAAAATCGGTCCTGGATGATCACTGCTATAGACTCAATATAATGAAAATGGCGAGATGTAAACTATCTACTACACTGTGTTGAAAAAGTTGAAATAACGTGACACGCATTTGTTGATTGCTAAAAAAACATCATGTAGAACTAATAAGTCTTTTTATATGTTTTTAGTGATTTTAGAGTTACTTTTCAAGTCCTTTTTGGTAACTCTTGTAACGAAAAGGTAACTGTCTGAAGGAGTAGAGCAATTTGTACACGGTAACACAGAGCGTTCAAAATGTTTTCTTCAAAGTGTCTATATAGGCAAAACTATTATATCAGAACTAGTGCCGCACTAGTAGTGCGCAACAAGACTCTCTCTTTGTAAGGTACACCTAAGACAGAGCTTAAGTTGAAAAACTTGTACACTTTTATACAACATTCGATAGAGAATTAAACGGCGATCACGACTAGGCTAACCCGACCATTCAAAACCTTTTTCTCGCTGAGATCCGAAGGAAACACTCGGACATTGTAAAAAACTCCATTTTTCCCCACTTTTCTTAAAAGCTCTCTCGTTTTTTGCCCCTTGAGGTTTTGACTTTCACGACCAAGCTTTTCAGATTCAGCGTTGAAAACTGAATCTAGAAAACTAAGTCTCAATGCACTAGACCGCCAAACCTCGTCCCCAGGAATTTTTGAAAAAGCGTTGGCCCACTAAGGCATAGCGATTTTGCAAACTCTAATGCCTTTTTGTGGAGCGTGCTGGCGTTTCAATCGACACACCGTTAGATCCGCTGAGCGTTCCTCTTCAAACTAATGAAGAGCTTGCTCCGAACTTTGTTTTCATTGGCGAGATATTCGACTTTTTCGACTTTAACCAATACCTAAATGGCCAAGTCCTTCTCTGCGGCTTTTTCGTATTTCACTTCAATTAAAGCCGAATCAACGCCAAATATGTTAGAATCGATGGAGAACACGATGGAGATACTGGTGAAATCTCCAGAGTAGTATCCCGGGAAACCAGTAGGTCCACGTTGTTCGTATTTATAGTATCATTGATTTTCTCGTGAATTACTCCACTTTATATACCATTCGATAGAGAATTTCACGAGCTTCAAAATGAGCTATGAATACGTCTTTCAAAAATATGCCCATATGGGTCAATAGTTGAAATACTTGGCCGATATAATGATTTTCACCTATCTTATCTTATTTTTCTATCAGATGAGGTGCATATCGTCCGTTCATGAGAAAAGTTGATAATGGAGCGTCTGGAAAACCAAGTCCTTAGTTTTTGGTCAGAAAATTTTGCAAACCATATAGCCTGATAGAACGAAGGATTCTGAGCAAAATAAGACATCTCCCGGCATTCTATAGTGCTTTTTCAACGGAATATTTTGGTAACTTTCACTTCCTTTGTAGCTAATGGTAAATCGACTGCAGTTTTCTAGATTCAGTTTTCAACGCTGAATCTGAAAAGCTTGGTCGTGAAAGTCAAAACCTCAAGGGGCAAAAAACGAGAGAGCTTTTAAGAAAAGTGGGGAAAAATGAAGTTTTTTACAATGTCCGAGTGTTTCCTTCGGATCTCAGCGAGAGAAAGGTTTCTAAGAAAAGTAACTCTAAAATCACTAAAAGCACTTCAATAGTTACTAGATACTTTGTAAGCGAAAATTCGGTAGTTACCGATATAAGAGTAACGGATAACTCGATAGTTATTAAACAGCTATATTATTTTTACAACCTATAACTTTTTCGTTACCATTCATTACTTCGTAACTAAAAATAACAGTAACTGTAACATTTCTACATTACCATCATCATTGATTATTGTTACAACTGTTCTTGAACGTTTTCCAAGTTTGGCACCACCTTGGGGATCAACCAATTCAACTGAAAATGATTCATCTTGTTCCTCTTCATCATCATCTATGATAACAATTTCAATTAATTTTGATATTTCACCATGTTCAAATACTAGTTCTTTTTCAACACCTAAAAAATTAGGCAAAATAGATAATAACAAAAGAAAAATATTTTTAAAAAAAGGTCACTTTACTAATATAATCTTTTGTTCCAACAGCATCTATATCTTTTGTTTGATATCTGACTGATATACGACCATCAGCACCATTTGAACGAATTACTTTTAATACGGCTTTTCCAGCTGATTCTTTAACAAATGTAACTGCTTCATCAAACTCAAGTGTACCAGGCTCTATTTAAAAATCAATAAAAAAATTTTTTAAATACATTTGGTACTTTTTTTACAAACCATCATCGTTTATTATTGTTACTAGTGCAACAGTTTTTGTTCCAAGTCTGGTCTTACGATCTTCATTATCTTTACGTAATGACATCTTAAAAATAAAATGAACAAAAGAAAATTGATAAATTTCTCTAATATGACATTCATTCATTTGATATTAATGATCGATGTATAGTAGACTGACCTTCACAAAAAATGTTTCATCTGGCTCCCATTGATTGTCATCGATCACTATCACTCTAATTCTTTTTTCCGTTTCTCCTGGTTGCATTTCAAATTCCTCAGCTAATTTAATATAATCTTCACCTTCTGTAGCTGTGCCATCAATTGTATCTAATCTGAAATTAAAAAACAAAAAACATGTTTATAATCAAATTCTTTTGAAAATAATGAGCAAAATAATTACCGAAATCGGCTCGCTATATTAGTTAAACCATGTCGATTAATTATTAATTCAACATATTGTTGACTTTCGAGCACAGCATAAGATGTAGATGAAAACTCAATTATTGAATGACCTTGCGCATCTTGGGTTCTAATACTTGCCGCTAATTGACGCACATCCGTGTAGTCTGCATTCTGTATATCAGCTAAAGATGAACGTGTGTTCATACCTTTGGAGAGCTATAAACGAAAATTTGACATTTCTAGCATACACTCTATACTAAACTTGTTGACGCATAGTATAGAACAAACCTCTAATATTTTATCAGCTGGTTTCATAAATAATGATTTTCCACCAGTAAACATTCGTGTACCTTGCATAAAATATTGTGAACGAGAACGTGGTGCTTTTTCAGATAATTTTGCAGCAAATAATTCAGCTTTATCTTTTAATGTAAGCGTAGATGTTTGTCCAATTTCCTATGAAATAAAAATTTTATATTCTATAACTTAGAAATAAAAACGTATTTTGCTCACTTTTAGAAAACTTAAAAGATCACTTTTATAATCTTCAAACTTCATGTTATCAAGAGAACCTGAAAAGAGTACAAAATAATATACAAATCACATTATGGTAATGCAAGATGAAAGAGAAAATGTAAACATTATTTATAATATTTCTTCGTTGACATTCAAATTATAGTTTTAATAATTGATAGGAAAAACGACGCTTCATTGATTGAACGGTGAGGATGAGGTGGAGTGACATATGTAGAATTTTTTAAAAGAGTTATCAAAACTTCTTGGAAGGGCAGAGAACGACGGTATAAAGTATTGGGAAAACGAAAAAATTTTCATATGATCGATGAAAAAACAAAAAAACTTCAACTTCAACACAATCTTGACCGTCCTACAAAGTATATCCCTGGTGCTTCTTAAAAATTATAACTTTACATTATTTACTACTTACTTTCTAACATCTTCTCTTCTTCCTCTTCCATGTCTGGCTGACGTTTTAAGAAAAAACCTTTTTCAGCCGCAAACGCTAATAATACGACAAGTGGGAACATTAAAAGTGTTATGATCGCTTCCCATAAATCAATAACATCGGGTGATATAACACTTACAACAAGAAATAACCAAATATAAGCAAAAAATCCAAAAAATGACGTAATCTTAAACGAATATCATAATAACATAGAGACAATCAGATAAACATTCTATTATCTTATGCTAATTCTTACCATGAATACGCTATACATGCGTATTCGACGTATATCTGGAGTAGGGATTGCTGATATACATATGGCGGATATGATAAGTAAATTATAAGCCGCTGAACCAACAATGGTTCCTAAAGAAAGGGGAAAAAAGAATGAGGAAATTTATGAAAACTTATTGACAATAAACAATAGTAAAACAACTAAAGTAATTTTTCTTTTTACCCGGTCCTAAATCTCCACTTTCAAAACGATTTCCAACAATTTCTATTATTGATAATAATATTTCTGGTGAACTTGAACCTAAAGCCATTAATGTTAAATTAGCTACTGTATCATTCCATATTTTTATTTCAACATCTATAAATTTTTTTGAATCATTTGGATCGGGATAATGTATTTTTTTTTTCTTTGACGTGATTGTTTCTATTGAACTCATAAATATATCGGCAATAATGGCAATTCCAAGAAATAAATATAATAAAAAAATAAAATAGAGTGTAGCACGTAACGGTATTGGTATACATGCTTCGATTCCTAAAAATATGATACATTGTTAATGAAAATCATTACTGCTATGTCTAAGTATTAGAACTTACCGAAAGGTAAGATAAGTCCACGTCCGGAACATTTGAAAGCGTGACAACTAATACAAATCGTTTTATTCATACTCATTTATGATTACACTAAAAAGAAATAAATTAGTAGATAATCAGTTCTTCAAAGACCGATTTCTGTCTCAAGTAAGTGCTGTTTGACGTAATGCTCAAGTAGTTGCTACACGTATAGTTTGTAGTTGATATTTATTTTATTCAATAATATTACTATGTAAACAGTTTACTAAGAGAATATAATAAAATGAAAACAATATTACGAAATTCAAACTCAGTTCAGTAATAAACGCCATTAAACATACATAAACATACATATAACTTAAAAATTTATGTAATCCATATTTAACTCCATAACAATACCTCGGATAGAGCTTGCTGAACGGGCATCTTGCCTTGATATAATGAACAAAGAAGTTCATGATAGTTTAAGACAAGAATGCTTCCGTCAGAAAATATAGGAAAGTAACATAAATGTTTCTTACTGGAAAATCTAGTAATCCAGATATAAATCCACAACCTTGTCGTTCAGAAAAAGCTGACTCTTTCAAAAATGTTTTATCCATTCTTTAGGTTGCTTTTATTTTTTCGTATATCTATAAAATGTAACTCTTCAGCATATTACGTGCGGAGAGAAAGAATAAAAAATATATCTATTCCAATAGTAGAAATAGGCATGATGAAAACTATAGAAGGAAAACAGAATTTCCGATGAACATTTCACACTATTCTTACATCTGATATCGCTCTGAGAAGTGGCAAACTTTTATTATTCTATATCGATCTCTTTTGTTTTAAGTTCCCTGCCCACTTTCATAAAAGTCAATTTTCGTCAAAAATAACGATTCTGAGATGTATCCATGGCTCAAAGTGTCTATTTTTGGAATCTACATTACTTTCTGTTCCAGAGATGAATTTTCATAATTTCAAAGGAAGATTTTTGGATTCTTCGAAAAACTAAGCTATTCAATTTCTAGTTTTTTTCCATGATACTTGTGCAATTAAACATTTTTCTGAATAAGTAGATTTAAGAAGCAAATTATTTCTGGTCAAAATGAGGCATAGCACAACTCTGTGTAAGTTTCTGTTAAATAGTTTCAGGCATTTTCCTACAATTATTAAAGTACATTAAAAACGCAAAGCGTTTTTCTTTTTTGTTAAAGTTCTTCGCGCGGCAAAGATTTCTCCCCCATTTGGAGTGCTAAAACGCTCAAGATGGTCTTAAAATGTAACCAAAACTTGGCACTACAACTTATCAGGACTGAAATTTTTATTTTCTATCTAATTTTTGAGAAGGATGAGGTTTTCTAAACTGTTAGTGGAAACTTTTTCCAACTATTTTTCTAAAAGCTTTGGGAAAACTAAACAAAAAAAATACTTGAAAAATTCGCTCTGTGAAGTTGTAAATATTTGTAGACATTGTTGTAGACATTTTAAAATCACCGTGAACTTTTCAATACTCAAAATGGAAAATTTTATCAAGATCAGATGTTCTTGAACGAAAATAGATTTCTGACAAGAGGGCCCTTAAAACTACATCAATTTTCAATTTTTAACGTTGAAGTTTGAGAAAGATCAATATGTAGAAAGCTAATACAAGTTTTCTGCTCTGATATCCGAGATCGACTATTTTTATGCGCTTTTATAGCGGAGGAAATGGAGCAGTATGCTTATGTTTTTATTTGAACGAAGAAACTTTTCGACTAATGAAACAAAAAATGAGTTTTATTAAATAAAAACAATCTTCTAATTAGTAGAGTACATTTCTTATATTACCTCAAAATATGAATAAAATAAGTGTGATAAGTGCTTAGGATAACTCACTCTACAAAAAAATGATTATAACATGGCTTTTGTATCACCATAAGAATTGTTGCGATTTTAATTAAAATTTAGAGAGAAAAAGAGTCGGTGAATGCAAAATATAACTATTAATATAAAACTGATTGTTTGTAATAATCTGAAAAGCAATACAAAAATATTATTTATAATCGTGTACATAGTCACTGATACGTAACGAAGACAAGAGTACACGTTTCTTACCGCATTCTTCTACTTATTTATGCGTACTATTTACGTTAAACAAATTAATATCCAGTTATATTAAAAAGAAAAATGGAGCTAAACGCTGAATTCATGATATGATAGGTTTTATAGTAAAATCGAAAATTGAATGATTTTGAATATTGAAAATTTCATTTTTTATATTGAATTAAGAAAAATAAAATATGATTAAACTTCTTCATTTAATAGTGTATATTTTCTGTGGAAGAATTGTATATGGGGTATCATTCAAAGGTATGTGAATACATTAGAAAAACTATAGATTCAGATAACTTTCATGATAACAAGTTTTACTTGTTAGAGTGTATCATTGATGAGTTTAAAATGACTATTTTCAATAAAATTTACGATTTATAAATCGTTATTTATGATTTATAAACGATTTTTTGCTGGAAAAATAGTGAGAAAATTTTGCAGTTTTTGAAATGGTATATAAATCATCCATTTATAAACTCATCAGTGGAGTGTATATGGTGAAGTGATTACTATCCATTTTACACTACTATAGACTCGATCGATTTTCTGAATAACATTCGAACGAAAAGTGAGGGAGAAAGGTAAGATTTTTGCTAGTCTGTAGAAGCTAGAAGCAATTATTTGATAAAAAGTAAAGTTTTAAAATCTTTTTCGAAAATACAGTTTTCAGAAAGCTGACTCGTGCTGTGAAAACTTACGTTAGTAAAAACATTCGCATATTTTTTGAAATAAAATAGTCAGCATGACTGATGAGGGACCTTTTCCAACTGTCTAATCGCTTTCTGATCGAAACCTAGGGAGTTATAGATTATCGACCACGCTGATTCCGAATGTCTATATGACACGGGTCGCTAGGCCTTTCTAGAGTAGTTTTCTGGAAAACTGGTTTTCCGGAAACCTCAAAAAGTCCGTAAAACTTTCTCTTCATAGATCACGATTGTAGCCCACAAATTCTGATTAAAATGAGATACTTCCCACCTCTACATGACCTTTCTTTGCAAAGTTAGAGAATTTACAAGAAAAGTCCTAAATGTTCATTGTCAGCTCAAAGCTACAGAAATAAGAAATTAATTTAGGGCTTTTCTTGTAAATTCTCTAACTTTGCAAAGAAATGCCCTGTAAAGGTGGGAGATGTCTCATTTTGATCAGAATTTCAGGGGCTACAATCGTGATCTATGAAGAGAAAGTTTTACGGACTTTTCGAGGTTTCCAAAAAACCAGTTTTCCAGAAAACTGCTCTAGGAAGACCTAGCGACCCGTCTCATATGGATATTCGGAATTAGCGTGGTCGATAATCTATAACCCACTGGATTGTGACCAGAAAGCGATTAGCCAGTTGAGGAAACGTCCCTCGTTAGTCGAATTATGTTGTGTGTCGCGTACTCCAAAAGTATTGTGTCAACCTCGGCACTATAAAGTTGTGTAATAACCTTGAGCAAGTTATGTACGCTTTGGTATCTCGAATCACTCGTACGCAGAGATGCGCGCCGCCGCGTCGGTTCGTCGCCTTCGGTCATTTTTTACTCGCCGCCGCCGCTGAAGTCGGAGAAAAAATTATTGCGACTTCAGCCGCAGCCGCTGACAGCGGAG